ATCTGTATTAAATTTGTCTTATCGTGATCATTACTCCAGTTTAATTGTAACTTTTTTTTACAGAGTAGGTAAGGAGGGCAGGACGTTAGGCACGGGAACAGCAAAGAGAATCCGGGCAACATTCAAAATAAAAGACCTCATCCAGACTACACGCTTTTATCTGAAATGCTCATTTAAACTGTATGAAGGACAAAATAGCATTGCAGACATCAGATCACACAGACACAAAACAGGTGTATTTTAGTCTAGTGATATGTTTCAGTCCTCTACTCTTAAACAGCTCCAATTAAAGGACCTTGCTGCTTGCTTTGAAAGGATTACAGTAATTCTCTGTAGGCTGCCTGAATCCATAAATATGAGGACCAAGACTTTTCCTGACTCATTTGCTTTGCAACATTCATTTTTATCTTACCTCTTTTTCAAAATGCACTAAATTTTCATCTCGTTCGCCTTCATTTTTTCTGAATGAATCTGGGTCATCTGGAGATTTAAGTGCTTAGAAGAGTTCATATAAACACCATGACTCAGCAACATTGTTTTATGCATGTTATTAATAAGGGACTGCTGCGAAACTAGGTACTCTAGACTGTGCGTAAAGTAGTGGAGCTTCTGATGAAGCTGTTTTCATTGACATATGCACACACTTGTACAACTTAATTGAAAGTATGTGTGCTCGCTGTGTCTCTTTGGGTTAGCATGCAACATTTTTCACTCAGGATACATCACTTAGGTCACACCATACCAGTCTGTAGGACTCTTACAAGCCAGACAAATACTTGGCTCTATTCATTTACTTCCTCCTTAGTCAGATTTCCTGAAACCCTTCCCATAAACCTCCATGTGTCTCTGCAGTGCAGACGGAAGAATGTGTGCACCACTGGGGTCGCTGTGTGGTCACTATATGAGTATCACGTCTGACTAGACTTATTATGCCCATGTTTGGAGAGAGGAAATGAGCGCCGTGTGCTGCGGGGACGTCTCCAAGCTCCCCAGTCTAGTGCAAACGTAGTGGTAGACTGGGAGACAAGCTAAAAATAGAACTGGAAGGCCAGGTCATCTTTGAGCCAAAAGTAAGGAATTGTGAAGCTGAGAGGAGCAGAAGGAGAAGTATATCTCATGTGAAATAAAAAGACATTATCCATAAAGTAGGCATTTAAATCCTAGGTACAGTAGACAGGCCTACAAGACTTGACTTAAGTAGTTATAAATTTGTTGATAAGCTTTACCTGGGAGTTGCTGGTGTATGTGTGCCATACATTGGGGAGAGAAAGGGGCACAAAGTAAGGGTTGATGGAGAGCTTAATCCTTGTGAATCCTCCCAGCATTCCATCTGTTTTTTTATATCTTATTCTTCATACCCAGTTTATCAGCAGTGTGCAAAATATAAAAAAAACCCCTCATATCTCAGTGACTGGCAAAGATGGAAGGAATAAATGACCTATGAGCTCACAAGAAGTCAGAGAGACACAGAGGGAGAAAAATGAGGATGAGATATTGCTTCAGTTTGTGAACGAGGTGTGTTTTACTACAAGATTTAAAATAGGAGGAATAAAGCAGAGTTGCTAGAGGTGAAGGTCAGAATAATGAATTTAAAGTGGTAAAGATTGTTACACATCAACTGAATATATAGAGTGAGGACGGATGGCAAAGTTAATAAAAAATATGAAAAATGATCGGTGATTCTGGGGCCCATAAATATATTCTCATAGGTTTACTTCTGTACTTCTTTATTTTATAATAAAGGACTAGCACAATAATATGCAATCCCTTAAAAAATAAAATGAAAAAATAAATAGAAGCAAAAAAAATCAAAGAATATCTCTTCAGAATCTACAGCACAGGAGAAACGTGTATGCTGTGTTCAAGTGTTTCCTGTGTAATACAGCGCTCTGCTGTTGCAGAGTTTAGCCAGGTGAGGGGAGAGCATGGATACGCAATCATCTGCTTCTGTGATGTTGATCTTGAAATGGTAGAGCTTAGCATGTTTGGAGGTATTACAGGGGCGCTGGCAGGCCAAGACAAACCTTCTCTATTGTTACTGGCTCAGGCCTACAGTACATTGTGTGCATGTGCCTGTGTTTCCAGACTGCCATTTCTTTAAATACTTTGAAAACAGATGTTTATTTGTTGAGTTACTGGCTGTGGCTACGATGCTGAGATTTCATTTCCCACTGTTAATTACTTTAAAGAGTTGATGTTTCAGATTATGACATCATTGCTCTAGGCTTTTCTTTTCTTGTTCTCACTCTCTCTCACTTTGCGCCCGATTGCCCTTCATGATGGCCCCTTTCCCGCCCTTTCACGTGTCTCTTCTCTTCTCTTCTCTTCTCTTCTCTTCTCTTCTCTTCTCTTCTCTTCTCTTCTCTTCTCTTCTCTTCCTCTGAGGTCATAGCTGGCTTGGTTTGGAAGTGGGCTGGAGTACAGACATAAGAGTGTCTGTTTTTCTCATCAGTCAGTCAGTGCGTGTGTGTGTGTGTGCTGAGTTGGTGAGGGGGTAGGGGTGTGCTTTATTAATTAGGGGAACAACTTTACCGCTTTTGAAACTTCTATTACTACATTAAAATACCCAATCAAGTGATGCAGACAAAAATGGGCATATAGAGGGAATCTTAATTTCATATGATGTAATATTGCACAGCTTAGCTCAGGTGTGGAGCAAGACTCCAAAGCAATTTTGGCCTTATTGTCGAGGACACCTTTCCAGGATAGACGGGATAAAAGACTTCAGCTTGTGTTTGGGAAAAAGCATGCTCACTACATAAAACTACTGATATGTCCATGCAGTCATTTAGTGGTTCAATGTGTAAGGTTTGGACATGACAGGTAGGCCTCCCCGAGGTTTTCCTTTGATGCTAAATCCTTTGTTTTGAGTCAGTAGAACATTTGCTGTCTCCTTGCTCAAAGAAGACCCTATGTGATCAGTTTCTGACTGTAATTTGTGCCTTTTTCAAAAACTGTATCAATAGATGGATAGATACAAAAGATGGTCTTATTGTGTTTGATTTTGTAATACTGCTTCACTAAATTGAGATTAGGTAAAGATTTGGGGAGAAAGCTGCTGAAAAATAGGATCTTTGCAAAGTCCATCTTAGTGAAAGCTGTGGCAGAACAAAGAGTGTTCCTCAGCTCAGCGTACCTCGTGAGCAAGCTTGTTCCCTGTGGGTGGAAAATTTGCACATGCAATTAAGACTCCTTCACAGTCACATTGACTTTTGACCTTGACAGCTTGGGAATGGCAACCTTTAGGAATGTTAGAAGACCACGGATGTGGTTTGGTGACTTGTTAAAACTAATAAAAGAGAGCAGCATTGTTGTTGCTGCAGTTTTTGTGGCTAATCTAATCCCGAAACACGTAAGTAAGAGCTTGAGGTGATGCAGAGCTCGTGCCAGGGAGCTGGGGGAGAATGTTCCCATAAGTTGCATTATAGTCTTATGCAATCTGATTTCAAATACTTGCAGGGTGATATCATAGATATTAAACAAACATTTGCCAACATTACAAAAACAATAAAAAAACAAAACAAAAATGAAAGCGCAGCAGCAACATGCCTCCTCACACACTCGGCCAGCTTGCAACTTGCTCAGTAGGTTGCACAGTATGATTATTGTCTCCTCAGCGCACACACATAATGACTGACTTTTGACTGAAGCTTTTTGTTCTTCTGGGAGAAAGAACAAAGGCAGACTTGTTGTATCAGGAAAAATAACAGTGAATGAGAAATGCTAACTGAGTTATTTGGCACCATTGTCAACCCATATACCAAACAGCGGTTTTGTACTCTTTTGTACAGTCAACCGAAACATTTTAAACAGAAAAACTGATGCTGCTTTTAGAATAGAATAGAATAATCCTTTAATTGTCCCACAAGGGGAAATTTGGTTGTAACAGCAGCCAGAAAGACACATATACAAACAAACAGTACACAGGACACAGAACAGAAACATACACAATTTTTCTTACATATTTACATATGGACAATGGTTACTATAAACAGAGTACTTTTCTGACTCCTGTCACATACACAGACACACACACACACACACACACACACACACATTCACCTTTGGTTCTTTGTAATCGTTGCTTGTGCCCTTTTGCAATCCAGCTCCAGATGTTATTCTCTGGACTCCAGGAGTCCTACAGTGAAACCTTTACACAGGCCCACAGTCAGACACATACTTGTGCACACAGACGGGCACATGCGGCCCTTTAAAGATTTGACAGTTTCTCTCTCTGCAGGCCGCCTTGTTAAGCAACTGACTCTAACGTACACATTTACACAGATGTGCTTCAAACATGCAAAAGGATCGAGATTATTTAGGAAACACATCTTCTCAAATAGCATAATGGTGTCATTTGGGGTTCAGATCCAGTACAGACAAAATGAACTTGCCTTAAGGTTTATTTCTTTGTTTTGGTTCTTATGAAGTCACACATTTTCCTCTTGCAGCAAACCACATATAAGCACTTGTATTGTGTGTATTAATCTTAAATCAGTCACCAAGCTCTTAATTGAGCCGTTGTTTTTCAGTGGTCTCATGAAAACACATCATCAGTTGTCGAGTTGCCACAGCAACAGTCTTCTCACTGAAGGGTGCGGTGGGGCAGGTTTTCACCTGCAAAACACTTAACAAAAAATAAAAGCCCCATAGGTGTGCACACTGTTTATTTCACAATCAGGAGTTGTCCATCGATGAGGAAAATGCTGTGAATGCAGCTTATTGTGTTACAATGTGCCGCGCTGTTTTATCTCTGTGCAGTAAGGGTCTTTGGTGAACAAGAGCAGGAAGGGAGACAGAACAAAGTGAGCGAACACGTGTGTCACAGTTGAAAAGAATTTATTTTTGTCGGTGTAATAGTGCTTCTGCACAGCAAGGAAGCTTGTTGTTTTTCAGACAAAGCACTGGTATGCACAGGAAAACATTTGGCTTTGGGCTTGCATACACAGAAATCATGCTATTGTTTGCATCTTGACCTGTATGTGTTTGTATGTTCACAGGGCATTATTTGCATATGATGGAGTCACAAACAACCTCAAACTGGCTGACTCAGGAGGTAAAGTGGACTCTTATTTTTATCATTTACCTTCATAAGACCACAAAAAAGCTTGTTTGCTCCCCTGCTTGGGCTTGAAAGAAGTTGATATATAAAAAGAAAGTGCAGCATATTTGCACATCAATATCCCTTTGTTCCTTCACCCTGCATCTGTCTCTTTCCTAACAGCGGGTGGTGTGGCAGAGCTGGCAGCTAAGTTTCACATCTCAAAGCCTCAATATGGACTGTGCAAAGTCGGAAGTGTAGAGACAGGAGCCCCCCGGATCGTGCTGATCAGCTGGGTGAGTAGCAGACGGGCTCATGGGGCTTAACTTGTGTAAGCATTCGCCTATCATAACACAAATACCAGCTCGAATTACTCAAACACACATGCATTCTTTGCCATGAAAACAGCAGGTACGCTTCAAACACAAGGACCTACAGACTTAAATTAATTTGGAGGCAGCTGGGTCATTTTGTAGCTCTGAGATAAAGGGTTTCACATGTGGTTGTGGTCAGATACAGAAGCGTATGCCCTTATTAACTTATAAAGTATTCTGGAGAAACCCGAAATATTCCTGGCTTATTCACATTCAGCACTCTGTTTTCAGAGGCTTACATGAAATTTGGAAGAAAAGCTTTGAAAATGTCTCAGTGCAGTGGAAAAATGAGTGAATTACAAGGCGAGCAGAGGACCTAAGTGTCAAAGACGCAACCCGAAACCATAATATTTTCACCACCGTTGTATCTGGTGCTTGAAGTGGTATGGTGGTATATAGCTCTTCCCTAAAGAAACGCTGCCTTTGTTCTGCTCCAAACATGTCCACTGTTACTGTCTTTGATTTGTCTTTCCAGCTGTCAGGAGCACTTCATTCCAAAAGGCCTGCTCTTTGATTGTATGTTCATCTGCAAACTTTTGTTTATTCTGGTACACTTCCCACGCGGATCAAATTTGTGCAATTTCTTTCTGACTGTAAACACATGCAGCTCAGGCTACCTGGAGATCCTGGGTTCAAATTTTGTTTTTTTTAGAGACCGTTGTTTTAAATTTAGACTGACTTTGCTTAGATTTCTAATTCCACACAAATAGTCACTAAATACACAAATATACACAATTGTTGATAGTTTTCCTCACAATGGAATAATTCAATTCAAATAATTTGGAGAAATCCTGTTCTTTCAGACACGCATTTATTGACAAGTTGTTTTTTTTAAAATCCCTTTGAGAACTTATTAGATATTGGCATGACGACACTAAACACTTCTCAAGATGATCAGTCTTCAGATGCTAGCCTCATGATATCGTTTGAATCCTGTTGTTTCCCAGCCTGTTTCCTTCATGTCTTTTTTTAGTCTTCTAAGAGAGACCTGTGATATCAGTCTAAGTGTCTACATCCTGTTTGTATGCAGGTTGGCCAAAATGTCGATGACTACAGGAGAACAGAATGTGCCACCCACATTCCAGCCCTCAAGAACTTCTTTAAGGTGCAGTACATAAGAATGTGAACTTGACAATGGCCTTCGGGTTTGCTAAAGTAAATCCAGTCATTTGTGTTTTTGTTTGGCTTCATTTAAGAGGAAATAATTCAATCTGTGCAAGGACCGTTTAGACCCGGAGGTAGTGCCGTGCAAAAAAACACTTGCAGTTTCTGTTACTCTTTCTGTTCATTTAGATTGTTTAATTTCCTGTGAAATTCCAAAATAATAGTGAAAAATGTGTTTTATACTTTCCTATAATCTTTGTCCCTGAATTCTAGACCGTGTACCCTCAAACTCTATATTTACACTTTGTAGTTTGCTTGGTATTGTTTTGAGAGTTTCCTGTCCTCAGACCCCTTCCTGCCCTACTGGTTTGTTGGTTCAGGGTGAGATTGCTAAGTTTTGTTTAAAATT